TTAATAAATATGTCATAATAAAACATCCGCATTATAGAAATATAGAATGATACTAATATCAAGATGACATGCTTTAAGAGTCTAGATTTATTGAAAACTGACAAAGCTTCTTGGCATTTTAAGCACCGTTGTTATATGAGGCTGAAGTTGGCTTCCTGTTCTCCAGCTTCTTATTTGAATTTTCAGTTTCAGTCCTTCATTGGTGGTCACAGGACACTGGCTGGATATGTTTGTTTGTTTTTATATATTTTTGTTTGGTCAAATGTTCTCAGTCCAGCAGCAACACTACTGTGTCTGATCTACTTGTACCAGCACAACACACAGTAACACGCCATCACCAAGTCAATGCTGTGGTGCTGATAATCGACCACCACCTAAGTAATACCTGTTCTGCAGGATAACAGGCTAAAAAAGGGCTAAAAGAGGGCTAACAAAGTCTGCAGAGTAATTCTCTAAATACACCTATATGGTAATGGACCTGGTAAAATGAACAAAGAGTGTAGACACAAGGAGATGTACTTAATGAAGTGGCTGATCGGCGAATATTTCATATAAAATATACAAATTGTCAAGTCAAAGTTTATTTAAATAGCGTTTTTTACAACAGGCATTGTCACGAAGCAGCTTTACAGAAAAATACGTGTCCAGGACCCCATAAGCAAGCCAATGATGATGGTGGCAAGGAAAAACTTCTTAAGATCAAGAGGAAGAAGGCTTGAGAAGAACCAAAACTCAAAAGGGGAACCCATCCTTAGCAATGTCTATGATTACAAAAATGCATGCAGCAGTATCATCAGGAGGGTCAGTGGCGTCCAGGTGAGGTTTGTACAACGCTGCTCATCTGGAAGCTCCATGATGGTCAGAAGGGTGGCGAGCAGTAGGCACCTGATCAAGGCAGATGAAGCAACAGCATCAGACCAAACAGGATGGGCAGTTGTTCAACTTGGCAAAGAGATACACAGGCAGTTAGTTCTGTCAATACAGACTGATTACAGTATACAGTGTTAAGAAAGTGAAGCAGAGACTCCAGCAGGTCAAGCTATTACAGCCTAACTAAAGGGAGAGCCAGAAGGTAACAGACACATGAGGGCTCTCTGAGATGTCAGTGCCCCTCTGCTCCACCTTATACCTAACGGGAAAAACTAATTACCAAAGGCTTGACTAAACAAGTAGGTTTTTAGCCTAGACTTAAAGACTGAGGCTGTGTCTAGGTCCCAAAAAATGACTGGAAGATTATTCTAAAGCTGGGGGGCTTTGCATGAAAAGGCTTTACCCCCTGATGTAACTTTATTAATTCTAGGTACTAATAGTAAACCAGAACCGTTTAGGACTTTATATGTCAGTTTAAGAATTCTGTATTCAATGCAGAATTTAACTGGCAACCATTGTAGGTTTGATAAAACTGGGCTGATATGGTCAGACTTTCTGGTTCTTGTGAGGACACTGGCTGTAGCATTCTGGACTAACTGAAGCTTGCTGAGGCTTATGCTGGAAGATCCAGACAGCAGGGCATTGCTGTAAACCAGCCAGGTAATAAATCCATGAACTAGCTTTTCTGCATCCTGTAGAGACTGTGCATTTCTTAATTTGGCAATATTGCGTAGATGCAGAAAAGCTATTCTAGTAATATTGGTTATATGTGCATCAACAGACAGATCATGACACCAAGGTTTTTACACAATCCAATAAAAATCAAACTAAATTTACTTAATTTATTAGGTTAAATATCATCATTCTTAATTTAAGCTTGGTTATACATTTAGTTGATGTGTTACAAGAGGAAAGCAACAAAATTTTAACAGATTGAGAAAGAGTAGACTTGTGCAGCAATAAAAAAACGGAATAATACACAATTTTGAAAAATTACAATATAACAACTAGACATTAAAATACTAAAAGAGGATTTGAAATAAAAAAATAATTTAGTTAATAAAACAACCAAAAAAGAAAACAATCAAATCAGATAATTACAAACAATGACCAACTAAACCAATTACAAACAGAGAAAAAATAATCAGAAAGAAAAAGTTTAAAAACCCTAATAGGAATGAGCAAGTCAGGTTTTATTGTCTTGTTTTGATGTGAAATGGATCGTTGAGGAGAAACACAGGCTCTTTATAATGGTGGCAATAAAAACAAGGGGGCTTGATGCCTACAACATAACCATTTTATTTATATCCAAACCAACAAGTAAACTTACACGTTTTATATATGTAATGTTCATAATGGTAAAATAGTAGTAAATCTGAAAAGATACTATGGTGGTTGCCACAGGGCACACCACTTTGCATAAGCATAGAAGCTCTTCTATGCGGCTTTCCAGTCGAAGAGGCTGTTTTGCCTTACAGCTCCCTGTTTCTCTCCACAAAGAATGGATTTTTAAAAATACATTAGATAAAATGCTTATCTCAAAACTATCCCCACCTCAGACATCAGGCATGTATGCATAACCATTTCATGAAGTAGCTTTCTGTTAGGGATGTTTTAGAGGCATTGCTCAGCCAACATGTCCATGTGGGTTTTACCTGAGCAGGGGCTTGTAGTGGGCTTTTTGATGGGCTGTATGTGGGCCCCAACTGGATTATAGCCATAGGTCCCTGTTAGGCTACAGTCATGGGCCCTAGTTAGACTACAGATGTGGGACTCAGTTGGGTTACATTTGTGTGCCCCAGTTGGGCTAAGATGTGGGCCCTAGTTGGGCCCGAGTCAAGTTGCCCTTTCATATGTGAGTCCTGCTGGTTGTTTTATAATTATTTCTTGCATTTATTTTCATTAATATACAAATATAGAATATAAAATTCTTTGAAAATATATAAATGACATTTGAATGTTTCTAATATAATATTGTAAATACAATAAAGCAGTACATAATTTTCTGTCTAAGCTCACTTAAACATTAGTACAAAACAGTCTGTAAATGTCTGTGTTTTTCCACATTGCTTCATTTTTAACTAAAGAATAAGCACTATTTCCTATAACTGATTGAAACTAGTTAGAATTGGTTCAAAATGTTAAAGATTGTCAAAATGACTAGCTTTCCACTGCTGAGGATTAATCAACAGAATTATGGAGGTAAGAAAATGATATTTGGTCCAATTTCACTGCTATTGTTAAGTAAAATAGAACATTTTGTTGAAGGTATAAGATATTAGTCCAAATGACTGAGGATTAGGCCTGTAAGCCAGTGAAATTTAAACAAATTTAAAACAGCCACCTAGCCAGGTGGCTAAGTAAACCATTTCCAGCTATCTGTGTATTATTTTATTTTTGATAGTTTTAACTATACAAACTGTATAAAACATTTTATTTTGTTGATTAAGCAGTTAGGTTCAGTTTAAGTTCTGATACAAACTTGTAGGGAATATGCTGTGTAATATGCCGTTTTGTAGATAGCTAAATTTTATAAAGTTAAATTATTTACTTAATGACTCACTGAATGACTCACTGAAAAATTACTGCATACAAAGCAGAAATATGCTACTTGAATGTGTTTAATAAACTTTAAATGTTGGTTTTAAAGCTAGAACTGTCATAAGTAGCATTAAACCCAGTGTTGATGAATGACTGTAAACTTCTATTAGCTATGGTGCTAACATAACATTTAAAACATGTTAATGGAAATGAGCACTCACAGCAGAGGCTGCTTTTGAAGTAGTATCTTTGTTAAACACTGCTATATACATGCAGGGGTCGCATGTTAAAACATTTAAAACTTCATGAAATTACTGGCTCTGAGCAATTTCCACTTTAAACTGTGTGAAGTTGTAATTAAGTTTCATTTGTTGACACTTGCAGATACTTTGCTTAGCATGGTCAATAACAGCATTGCTCTTTAAAGTTGATTTAATAACTTTTTTTCATTCTTTTTTATAATATGTGATACAGAAGACTGCACACTGTGAAACTGTTTTAAATTTTTTAGTAAACAGTGTTTTGTATTATATCAAATTGAACATATTTAATAAATGAATTTGCAGTATGAAAATACACTTGGCATTCTGTGTTTCATCATGCTGTGATAGAAAAGTTGCCAGTGCCTGTTCTCAATTACACAGTGCAAACATGTTGGAGCAATTTAAAATTTCAGAGAAATTTGCATGTTGGCCCATGATAACTGTACATAATACATGTGATAACCCACTTGGGGCCCAGGTTTAATGTCCATATTACCCATAAGAGCCCTACTTGAAGCCTCCCTTGGCCCAATCATTAGCCCATATAAGGGAACACTGTAAGGGACCCACACTGGCCCCACTTGCAGCCCAGCTTGGCCCCATTAGTTGTCCACATGGGCTAACACATATGGAGCCCATATGGAGCCAATGGGACCCATATGGGCCCCAACTGTACTGCAGAAAGGGGGCCCAATTGGCTGTCCATTTTTCAACCCATGTGGGGCCACGTGGAAATGTAGGCTGGGTAAGCTCTTTAGATACCTGGTTCCTAAAACCACTGCTCTGAACAATTCTAAATCTTACACCGGCCTTACACTAAACGACATTTCCTTAAAATCCACAGTGTTTATTATAAAAGGTTTGTAGTCTTTGCTCACCCAAATAGTGATGTAGACATTGTAAACAACCATTGGTGAGCGCCGTGGCCTGGGCTTGCCCAATTATATTTTTTAACCAGGCCTAAATCTTGTAATTCTCATCATCCATGATTTCATTCAAGGTAGCATTTTTAATAATAAAACACTTCCAAAAGGCTTCTGCCACTGTTTAAAGCTGCTGATTGTGAACAAAAACAAGCTCCTAGAATACTTACCTTAATAATTATGGCTCATAGTTCACTGTGCCCTCTGCCCTGCCACTGCAACAACTCACCATGGCTTAGAACATATATATTTAGGCTACATGAAACAGCAAGAAAAGCTAACCGTTTGTGTTTACATTTCTCTACGCGTTTGTCTTCCTGTTATGCTGCGCTAGCATTTCCCCGCTAAATACTGGACTGCTATTGGCAGAGGCGTGTCCTCGCCAAGTGGAATGTGCTTGGGGTTTGGAATAGGGAAACCGTATTGCTTTGCTGGCCATGACTTGCAGTTTTTATTATCGCAGGGTACTATGAGTCTCACAAGCGCTGGTCAGTCGCCATTAAGGGTAGGAAGCGAAGCGACAATGTTCTTCTGTGGAGGAGCAAGATTTGTTGGGTCTGTTTCATGTAAATTTCGTTATAACTTCGCGGGAACAGCACAAGTTGGAACAAACCTACCACGGGCGGTTACATGGGCACTGCGTGACAAACTTAAGGGAATTTGTTGTCCTCGAGTTCATGATAGATGTATAAACAGTAGCCATGCTTTATGCGTGATTAGTCAAACGCTAGGCGATAATATTGTCAAAAGCACTGGACGTACGTTTAGTTTGACTCCAGGACAAGTGACCCGGGCTCAGAAGATCTCGATGTTTGCCTTGAAATCGGGTTCACCGCCAACTTTCGAATTCACCATCATCTGTTTTCCATGGGTGAGCAAGGGACGAAAGACAATTCATATGCCTGAGCATTTTTTTTTGCGTTCTACCGAAATGGGTACCACTCGTTCGTCCATGGATAAGGTTCTATCAAGAGCTGTATCCACCAGTGCTAAGCAGAAACCAGCGAAGGGAGAACCAACCATTGAGGATAAAAAGGTAAAAAAAACAAACATTTTTACATAAGCATTGCTTATTATACCAATTAAGTGTAATCAACTAACTGGCAACTGATTATTGTGATTACACAACGCATACATTTACATTAATTTACTCAGTTGGTTTAGCTGCTTTTGTGTTTTGTTTGTCATGTCATAGCTGCCTTCCTTCTAGCTGTTCGGGCCAGTTAAGCAAGGGTGTAGCTTCGAACCGTTTGCGTTGCATGGTGCTGGAGATAAAACGACACCCAATTTGCAACTGGAAAAAAGTATGAAACAGTTTGTGGTAAGGTTGTGGTGAGGTTGTTTACTGGACGGTACAGTCAGTAGTTCAGTGTGTGCGCCACAGTCACCATTTAAAAATGTGCATTAGGCCATGGTTGGTGGAAGTGCGCCGGGTCGTGGTTGTGTAACATGCGTGTTGCTGTGTTCCTGCCCTTAAGTCCACTTCATGTTTTCACTGTGAAATGACTTGTTGATACTACAGTATGCTGAGTATTCCTTATTAACATTGTTATTTTTCAACATTTTGTCATAAATTACAAGATGCCTGAATCAAATTCTTGTCGTATTTTTAAATTATAAAATTGCATAATGTAAAATGTAGAGAACATTCACTTCAGTGCTGGATTATGAAAATAATGCAAATTGCAAGGTTAGATTTATGATTTATCAAGCTAAAATGCATAACTTGTCTTTTTCAGTATTTTGCAAAGAATTGTTTGGATTGTCATTGAATAAAATGAAGCAAATATAGTTTTAAGTATGAATATTCATAACACTACAGCATGCTAAAGTAGGACATACCCAGAGGTGTTACTAGGATGCCATTTTTGGGTGGGCGTGTAAAATTTTGACTTCAATTTTATGATGAGCAATGAGCATTTGTATGAACTAGAGAGAAAAACCTTTAAACAAGTTTTAGTTTGGATTTTCAGCAGCAGAATAGAATGCACAGAATGTACAGTAGAATAGAATGCACAGGGTCAGGCAGCAGTGCCTGTATGATGAACATACGTATAATAAACTATGATAGTTTTGCCTAGGATAGAACAATGTCTAGGCTCACTATAATTACCAGATGCAGTAAAGCTTTTATTATTTTTTTTGTTTATATTTTTCTTTACTAATTTATTTTTTTTGTTTACTTCTGTGTGTGATGTAAAACTTGTAGATTGCAATTGATAGCAAGCTAAGCTAAACATCAGTAAAGGTAAAAGAAGACAAAGGTGACTAAGCTAGCATGGAGACAGTATAAAGAGATGTTCTGTTTGCCCCCTGAGTGCAATTAATCACTCAGGCTGCTTGCTGAACACCTCGTTTAGCTCTAAAATGATGTTAAATAAATGATCAAATCATCACATTTAATATAGGTTAGTGAGGGGGACAGTGGAGGGGCTAGAACAGTAAAAATACAGCTCAGTGCAGTCCTTTTTACAGGGAAAGCTAGGATGTCAGTCTGCAGCATTCAGAATTTTCATTTTGAAAAGCATTTGTTGTGTAGCAACAAATCAACTGTAGCTGTAGTGAATAGCAACAAATCAACTGTAGCTTGCCTGAAGCTGCGTAATCACTAAACCAATGGCCACTTGAAAGAAACACAGGTTGCAAAATGTGCAAACTCAGCTGTGGAACTATACAAGACTGCTGATATAACTTTTATAAGAACCAGAGAAAAGAATTAACTTATCAAAGCTATGAACAGTTTTACTTGGGTAGTTGAGAGCAGCTACACACCGGTTTAGCACAAGTGTACCACATTTGTGAAGAAGTGCCTGGTTTAGCGATAATGTGATGGAGGAACTCTGACAAAGCACACTCACACCTTCAAAACGGCCATTAGGAAAGCAGTGCTTTTTAGATGAGTAATAACAAAATTATCTATTATCTACAAAAAAAAAAAATTAACACTCAAAAAATAGCTATAACAGTAGTTGTTTTTCGAAGTTGGGAAGGTTGATTGGGAAGATGATTCCTCTAGGTGGGCAAGGCTTATCTCCAGGTGGGCAACGCCCTTCCCAGCCCACTCAAAAAACACGCCCCTGGACATACCTCCAGTTGTGTCCCAATGATGTTGAGTGCTATCACTCTGAAAAGGTGATGACTTTACCCCTGCATAGATTATAAAATTACATTATAATGAATGTAGGCCTAAATGCATTTGTGATATAAAGTCTGGTCACCAAGTTGGTTCAGTTACCATAGAGATTAGCTATGTAAATTGCTTGGTTGAGCAATTATTAGCCAGTTTTAATTAATTTATTTCACAAGTAATGTGTACTTATCAGTAATGTCTCCGTAATATGTAACAGCTATAAATGCAGATAAATATTATACAATAACCTACACTTATCAGTAACCTTCTAGTGAAGCAGAGGAAAGAAACATATCTAAAACTTAATTTAACTAGCTAAGGGATACATACTCACGTTGAACCAGAAGTTGATAGCAATGTCCATGAAAATTTCCAGAAAAATAAGCTGAAGTCAAAGTATCACACATTAAGCCTATCTCAGAGGTTGGCAAACACAGATGTCCAAACTGTGCTCTTTTTCACGCTTACTTAATACTGTTCCACAAATCTTGGGTGATAAATGGTTCGTGTAACACAACTTGTAGCTAGGTATGCACTGATATTGGACCTGTGGCCTGATGCAGATATCCAGTATTTTCCGTGAAAATGTAAGCCGATACCCACACTTTTAGCAAAGGTAGAAAGTGGTGCTAAATCTTCCTGGATGAGTGTTACAGAGAAGGGTAACACTTATTTGTATATGATTACAAATTCAGTGAAGTTAACAAAATGTAGACATTTTAGCACAGTAGCCCAGCGTCACCTAACTGTTCAGGTTTTCCACAGATTTGAAGTATACTGCTTAGGTGTAGCCAGGGGCCTGGGAGGTCATTTACAAGGCTATATAGGTATGTCAGTTACAGACAAATATAACTAACACTAAAGCTGTGTCTGAAACTGTGCCCTAATCTAATTAAGATTTTTGAATGTAGGGTATAGTGTTTAGGGGGGCATTTTGGATCACATAATTGTTATTTAGAAATTAGACAATGTATCTTCAGTCAATTAAGACAGATTTAACTCTCTAGCTAGGTCTAAATTATCATAATAAAAGAATCTAGTCCTGTTATTAAGATAATTACAGATCTGTCAGACTGTGGGGGAGGCAGGAACAGGCAAGCATTATGTCCTAGAGAAACTGACTTACACCCACTAGTCTGCTTCATTGTAGCTTCCATAACCAGAGTAGGTAAAAACTTAAATTAAAATTTTAACATACAACCGTGTGTTGAACTGCTTTAAACTTGAGGTTTCTGTACCACAGTCACCTTTACTACTCAGCTTGCTATGGTGTGTAAACAGTGTTAATATGCAGCTGTGTAAACATTGCCATGGTGGTATTGTCTGCTGAAACTAGATGAAGGCCTCGAAAGATCTTTGTCAGGGCTCCAAAGTAACCAGACCAGAACCATTCCGAAAAATTTTATCACCTGAAATTTTTTATACTACCACATTATGAATGTATAAAAACACAGAATGTGAGATATATAGCATGTATACACTCAGACACACATGCTTACAAACACATCTATGGTCCAAAAATACATTTATGTCTATATCTATGGGATGTATATTAAAAGCTCTGCAACCAAATATGTAATGTTGCATTCTTAAAAAGCAAAACAAATCACTGTAAATTCAGACTGTGCTTGAGGATTATTTCAATATGTCTTAAATTTATTGTATATTAATATTGGAATTTTACTGCGCTTTAAGACAAGTCCAGTCAAGGCTTTACTGTCATTTCAGCTATATACAAGTACACAGTGAAACAAAAGAACATTCTTTCAGGACCATGGTGCAGCACAGGAACACAAGTGCAAAACGATACAATATACAGTGCAGACAATACAGTACAGTAAATAAGTACGAAAAACTTACAATAAATACAAAACAGAACACAGGAAGTACACGGTACTGAGAATATGTGGAGTTGTGCAAAGGAGAATGTAACATACTATGACATATTAGCAGATAGCCTAGCATATATGAGCATAGCGGTCACTAAGGTAGCAACCAGAACAGCAATGGAATACAGAATTTGGTTGATATAGTATTCTAGCAGCTAACATTGTTAAAGTAAAATGTGCAAAAATGCACATCACATATTGTTGAGGAAATAAAATGTGCAAAATGCAAGTAGTCAGATCTACAAGTTATATCAAATTAAGTATTTCAGTGAAACAGAGTAATTATATTTAAATACAGTGTTCCAGACATAATCTGGAACTGCAGTAAGTGGGGAGTGAGTTAGTCTAATATTGTTATGTTATGGGTATGTGTGTGTGTGTGTCTGTGTGGGTGTCCTTCAGTTCAGACCTTGGGAGTTGAGTAATCTCAATTAGAACCAGTTTGCATCATAAGTACCAGCTTGAATTGTAAATAATACAATCATGTTGACTGTAAAACATATGCATACAGTGTAAAGACTGGGTTGTCAGCTCTCATGGTTTTGGCTTGAAGCACGAGTGACAACAAAATTTTGAGCCAACCAGTTCTGTCATTAGCACAGTTGATGAGAGCAAGGTGAAGTGCCCAAATATAAGCAAATCAAATTGTTCTGCCAGCATACATACAAAGAATGTTAGCTACATAGCTCACAAATAAATTACTCAGCACTGACCTTTCTAAATATGTTAGAGTACCAAAGTTAGAAATTAGAACTTTTTTTGCTTTCATAAACCTCATGATGTCTCACTGAATGCATTTATTGCTTTCTTTATTTACATTTATTTGCCTCAACCCAAAAAATCCTATTGACATTTTGTTTATTGCAGCATTATATAACTATGAAAAATGAATGCAGTCATCTTAAATTATATGCAATTATGTAAGAACTGTGACAGACCTCCTCATAGTGCTCCATTCCACAAGTGCTAAATTCCTAAGCTCAGCTACTAATTAGTTCAAGTTTTAACTCCTGTTTG